AAAAGAACGACAGAGAGAATATATAAAACAATGGTACAAAGCGTGGCTCTATATGGGGCAGAAATATGGCAACTCTCGAACAACAACAAAATAAGTTGATAATAATGGAAATGGATTTCCTAATCAGAGCAGCTGGAATATCCAGAAGAGAGAGAATGAGGAATGAAAGGATTAGAGAAATCGTGAGGGTGGATCGAGATATAATTGAGGAGATAGAGAAAAGACAACTGATTTGGTATGAACACGTGCAAAGGATGCAGGAGGAAAGGTTACCAAAAATGACTATGAAATGGCAACGAAAAGAGAGAAGAGAGAAGGAAGAGAGGAAGACCGAGACCAGGATGGAACGACGGAATTACAAGAATCATGATAGAGTGGAAACTACCTCTGGGAGGATGGGAAAATAGAGAAGAATGGAAGAAAATATTAGGCAATGGAAGACTGAAGTAACGGTCAAGAAACAGAAGAAGATATTGTAAAATAACTTCAAGACATCAGCAACAGATTACTTTATGGCAGGTCAGTTATAAATCTGCCTCACTGATTTGATCAGTTAATTGGCATGGAAATGATGAAGTGGATTCAAATAGCATCCCAGGCAGCTTACCTTCCTGTTCTGCATATATTTCAGATGCTGTTTTCACAGGAGTCTGCTGAATTTGCTGCAGCTCAAGTAGTTCTGCTTCCAATGCTGTTTGTGAAGTTGGTCTCCCATCTTTTGAAACACTTTTGGAATGTCGAGAGTCATCTGTGGTAGATGATGCTGGCTTTATGGCAGCTATCTTTGCAGCTAACTTTGCTCTGCGATCATTCTCTTCATCAACCATTACCTGAAGCTCGTGTTTTGCATCCCATTCCATCAATGATATCTCATACAGATCTGAAAATAGAGCAATTTAAAAACAAATTTAAAACTCTGAAACACAAAATTGTACACACATATTGACCGACCAACTCCAGGTCAAAAATTCTCTTTTAATTAGCTTGTTCATAATTATTTAGATGATCAAGTAATTCCATACTGTTATGAAACCTGAATATTTAATCAGTATCAGTAAATCTCACCACTGGAACCTATTCTAAGTCAGATTAAAATTTAATTTACATCCCTGCAACTTATTTTTATAACTTGCATCTCCCATCTAAACCTTGGTCTCACAACTGGTCTCTTTCCACAAATAATAACGACCAAAATGTTAAATGCATCTATTGTTTTCCCATGTCCTAATAACCTCATCGTGACCCCAAGAGCTATGCTGGCGGTAGCATAGCTACTGGTAGGGTCGAGGGGGAGAGGTCAGACTAAGACAGGTACCCTGGTCCTCCAGGTTGGGGGTTGGTCGCAAGGCTAACAACCTTGCACCGTAAAAAGGAAGATGTTTCGAAACCTCAACCTCGGACAGATGGACCTAACAGAAGGACCGAATGGAAGAGGAGAAGTGAGGAGGCCGTGGACCGAATACGGACCGGAGGGCCACAGAAGAAGAAGAAGAATAACCTCATCTTTCTTGATTAACCTACTCAAACAATATCTGGTTAAGAGAACAGTCTGTAAAGCTCATCAATATGAAATTTCCTTTATTTTCCTTTAAAAGGAGTCAACAGACAGAACACTGAAATTATATTTTCATGTCTTAATTTTCTGACACTGTACCTTTCTGTTCTTCTTCAGATAATGGGTTGGGTACCGATGATGGACAGAGGTCTGAGAAGTGGTCATACTTGACAAGCATTACTCTGATAACCAGGAGAACATCAAGCAAACTATCTGGCAAACTCACAGCCACACCAACATCAACAAAGTCACATGAAAGTGGAGGCCTGGAGAAAAGTTCAAATATCAAAAGGATTAAATCACATAACACTTGTTTAACAAGAGTAAATAAATCTTAATTAAACAGCATGCTGCAGAGCACAGCATCAAGAGTAAATAAATCTTAATTAAACAGTATGCTGCAGAGCACCGCAAATATAATTAATTCCTTCACTGCTACTTAATGAAATGAGAAAATAAGGACTTGATTTCACTATTGCATAGATACTGGTTATCTGTTGCTTTTAATTTGTCTACATGTTAAAAAATGGCAAGAAATTAAAACATTCTCTGCTTATCTTAAAAAATTATGCACCTGTTTTAAACGTTGTTCAATTATTAAAAAAACTGTTTGACAAATCTCACACCTGTTCCTCTAGGCAAGACACAGAGTATTTAAATAACGTTTAATACACTATATCTGTCAGTGACTCAGGTCCCAAGTTTGGTATTGAAAACCAGCTGATTAATTCAGACCATACTCACCTCTCAGTCTTTGGTAACGGGACTAAAGGCGTGGGAAGAGGCAACTGACTCCAGAGAGACAGAACAAAGTCATCAAACTTCTGCATGTAGTGCACCTCATTCAGGCCTCTCAGCTGCATTTTCTCCTTGATGTTACGTAATATCAAATATGAAGCTCGGTCCAAATTAAACTGTTGTTCCTTCTGAACATCATTCCGCACCTATACATTATTTGTATAAATTACTGTAACTGCAAACTGTCATAATTACGTAATTTATATTTGTATTAGAAACACGTACTGTTCTATGACATGTTTTACATTCTTGGCTTGGGTCTATTAAATATCTATAAAATGTAATAAATTTTGCATATAAGGAAGAGATAAATTAGGATAAAGAGGCTTACTGAGGGTGTGTCTTACTGTCACTTACCTCTTTCCAGTTTTCGACATGCCTTGAAGTGACATTAAGTGGATTGTCAATTAGCTCCTGGATGGCTCCAAGCAACTGAACAGAAACATCATTATCACAAATAGAAAAAATTCTTTCCAATATTGGCCAAAGTGGTTTCTACACACTGCAAAAGTGGTAGTAACAAGGGATACAACCCCACTGAGGGCGAATTTCTTCACTTCTATTGAAATAATCTGAAAAACGTTCACAACTAAGAATTAACAACTTAGGAACTGAAATACTTGTTTAGAAGCAACCACCTCCATATTCTAAATAAAATCTTATAAAACTTGTAAAAGAGTAACTCACCCTAAACTGAAGTCGCAAAATGCTACATTTTTAAGTTCTGTATTTTAAACAGTCATAAAACACAAATTTTTAAGATCTGTATTTTTAAACAGTACCATACCCAACATGTAATTCAATTTAAAGTGGGGCTTGATATGAAGAGAAATAACATTTATTGTACAGACTCACAAATAAGTTAACTGTTGACACAGACTTTTGTTCTTTCACTGTCAAATCTCACTTGTAAAGCATTGGCTCTTACATGACCGATCCGTCTCCGTAGAAGATGCGTGTTCAGGTGATTCCTAACAGCCACATATAAGTGAGCGGCGCCCATGTTGGAAGATACAGTCGTTAGAATCCTCTTCCAATTGGGGCAGAAGCCAAGGTTGGCATGCCTACCTTAGAGTTACCCTTTCGAGTTCAGTTAACATTATGATGGTTCACTTTACCATTGACGTGGGAAGTCACCTCGTGATTAAAATTGAACCTTACCGAAAGTCGTCATTTTCAATCATAATAGGGATCAGGCGACAGAATCGTATCGTATTGCCAAATATTATTTGAGAGCCTAGACCAATTTCAGTCTGTACGGTTTCGTAAATAACCGCTTGCACAGGATTTAGCAGACGGTAGTTTGTGATAGAAGCAACTCACGACTCGCTCGGCGCGTTGATTTTTAGTGGACTGCGATGGAAGCAAGGCCGACCGGCCTAACACGCCCCACAGTTGAATCACACATAGAGGGTCAAGTGCACCCTTTCTGCTCAAATTTCTTGTACCAGGCGCAAATGGATACTGGGCTGGGTGGCTCCATGTGAAATTGTGTGCAAAACGCACGTTGCACACCTGTTACAGACTCTTTCTTCGCTAAATGAAGAGCACACCAGCTCCATCTTCAAAACTAGTGGCATCTATCGGAAACGCGCAGCAACAGCAACAACAACAATAACAATCACCCGGGTCATTTGAAACAAAACTTTGAAGGGTTTTCTACCGACTGGTACGGAACATAAATAAATTTGTGCTACTGGCCACTTTACCTATCAAAGAAAATACTACACTAACCCCAAGAACCTCCGTTGTCTTCTTTACAACATCTTCCAGTATGCCTCTCTCTTTAACAGATCTCCATAGGTAGATATATGTGTTCATTTCACTCAAAGATGCTGGATCAGGCAAGCCATCACATTTCATGTACTGCTCCCACTGGAATAAAGACAACATGCACTAACCAAACATCTGAGTTACAAAATTTCAGAAGTTCTATTCTGCTTCCATTTTCAAATGTGAACTGAGATCCAGGTCTGAGGCTAGCTAAACCAGGGGCCCCAACAGAAATTTTATGTCCTTTTCCTCCCTTGTACCTGAAGATGGAAAAAGAGCCCAGCTTCTGAATCATTGTTATTTTATAATTTAATTAATGGTCCAAAAGAACAATGTTAAATATTATAACACATCATCATCATCATTAGGAACCTTCAGATTTTGACTGGCATTATTTATTATTTGTTACATCACAACAACCAGGTGTTTTAATCCTGTACCACTGAAAAGGCTGGTGAAGTACAGTATTTTAGATTCATGTGCTCATAAAATTTCTGGTAGGTTACCAGCTTTCTTGTAGCTTCTTATAGTTTCTCAGTGCATGTGTCGCAACGGTGCCTTCAAATAGGCTATGACCGAGACAAATGAGATCTGTGGTTGAAACTTAGGGATTCTATGGGCTAGCATATAAATTAATATTTGGTACAAGTAAACGGTATACTTTATGAAACAAAATCTCTTTCATAATTATCTTTTTATTCAAATTAGGCAAACATATGCGTCTTTGCTTAACAGATATCTGACGTAAATAACTATAATTAACACAAGGTTAAGAAAAGGTATATATGGAAAAAATGTAGATTATGAATGATTAGAATTATGATATCAGCTTGTGTTTGCATCACTTCTGGTTTTGGACTTAGAAACCTACGGTCTCTAGATTAGTCTGGATGAACTTCAGAAAACTACAAAGGCGAGATTTCAGTCAGGACCTGTGTCTGATCTGACACTTCACCTATGCATCTCTGAAATGCAATGCATTACTACTTCAGCTAACCTCTTTGGTTGCACATAAGGTATTTTGTTTAATTATTTTGAGTAAACAAGTCCTAAGAATAGTCAAATAAAAATGCAGCGATACGTAAAAAATTCCTAGAAAACTGATCTTTTAACAACTCGTTCATGAAATGAACACCATGTTGTTTAAAGATGGCTGCCTTATGGGTTGCACTACCGTGTAGTCTGGAAAAAGTTTACTGGTGTTTCAGAGGTCCCTGCTGTCTCCATCAACAGATCACTTATCATCCTGATGATAGAGGCGGCAAGGACATCTGAAACACCAGTAAACTTCTATCAGACTACACGGTGCTACAACCCAAGAGACAGCCATCTTCAAACTTACTCCTACAATTTTGTGTCTTAAAATGTTGTTATACGTACCTCTTGTTTCGCCCGTTTTTCTAGTTTAATTTCATACATCTGCTCAGAAAATGTTTTAAACACAGAAATTGTTTCTTGTAACTGAACCACCCTCTGAGCCTGCTCAGCTACATCCTGCTTTGCTTTCTCTTTGGCTGCAATTTGGTCTTTTTCCACTCGAGCTTTCTCCTCTTGAATCAATCTCTGTCTGTACAAAGATATTTATACTACAAGATGCCGCACAACAATCACATAAATCTAAAAAAAGGAACTCTAACTAACTTATCTTTCAACAACAAAAATTCTTGCTAACATTTTAGGTATAGCTGCTATATTTCACATACCAGTGAATGACAAAAATTTAAGGCCAAGAAACCATGTCTTGGCTTCAAAAATAAATTACGACATTCTATTTAAAAAGTACACGTATGACAAAGACTAGGGTAACAAACAAATGGCAAGCTTCTTACGTGTGAGTTGTAAGATATTGATAGTTAAACAATGCTGTGCATGAAAATAAACTATAATAATCAAATGTAATTATTACAAGCAATTAATTTATGAAATGAGGTAAGGAATTTTTGGAAATTAAGTTTCATAAGACGAAAATATAAGGAAATAATAAATACATAAATGAAAGTCGATATATATATATAACTAGGATAACTTGAGAGACTAATTGTAAAAGGAATAACATTATCAAAGATTAAGGATGTAATAAAAATAAAGGATGCCTCCAGTGATACAATGGTCAAAGTTTCATATCTTATCAAATTCATTATTCATCCGTTCATTCAATGCTATATAATCTGAGCTACTGTCAGTAACATTAATTAAATTGTAAATAAATAAGACAGAGATAAACAAAAAAACTGTTCATAAAGATAATGATACGCCCCATCCACATAAAAGGCAGCTTTCTGAAATCTAACCAAACCCTGAACAACAGTTTTCAAAAAACATACCATAACCTTCCTGTCAGAAGTACCAATAAAGACTACTTTAGCTTTAGGTAGCTATTTCTTTAAAATATTAAAAATAAATCCAAACAAACTGCTTTTCTTCTTGTCATCTAGAAGTGGATGACTGGTTTCAAAGAATGGTTTCATCTGAAAGAGTACATGCCCAGGAAACCAACATGGTTGGGTGTGGTTGTCTGCTACAATGTCATATTTATTGTGGAAAAGTTAAAACCATATTACAAAGAACCATTACTGGGGGAACAAGTAATATTGCTAGAAACACAGAATATATGGGAAAATACCATCAAATTACACCAACTACATGTTGGTAGGGAGCTGGCACAGCTCAGTCAGTATAGTGACTGGCTACGGACTGGATGACCGGGGTTTGATGCCTGACGGGGGCAGAGGATTTTTCCTCAAGCCTCTGCGTCCAGATCGGCTCTGGAGCCCACCCAGCCTCCTATCCAATGGGTACCAGGGTTCTTTCCCAGGGGTAAAGCACGGCCGGGGCGTGATGCTGACCACTCACCCCCATCTGGTGCCGAGGTCAAGAATGAGTAGGAGCTATATCACCACTCACCCCAAGCGCCTATATGGCGTATAGTGGGACAGCTTTACTTACTTTACTTTTACATATTGGTAGGTCTTCCAAAAAGTGGTAGAAGTTTTTGATATTGAACAAATGAAACACTGCGAAATATTATTCTGTTCAGTATGACAGTGGACCTTTATGCATTATATTAATACATGGAAAGAGGAAATTGAGTTACAGAATGAATTTATTGCAGCAATTGATAGAATTCTACATGTTGTGGAAGTGTACCGGCAAGAAGTTTGCCTATATGTACAGCCTCCCCAAAACTCATTCACTCGCACAGATCATGCAAATGTTGTTAATATACACCAAAATATAATAAAAGAGGATACCATACCATTAGACCATGGAATTCAAACATCCCAGAAATACAAACAATGTGATCCCCTACTGTACCACAGTAGCTGCTTTTTGGAATACCACACAGAAACAGAGATTCAAATTTGAGGTTATGTATAGAAATTACATCTTTATTACATAACAAATATTATGTAAATTTCTTAACACAATATAATTTACAGTTTTTAATATATATAAAATTCGTAAAATTCATGTATCTAACACGCCACATTTACTAGAAGGGCTCTTTAAGAACACAGTCCAACAGGCTCAGACAATGTTAACACAAGCAAAAAATTATAAAGTATTATATAAGAAAAGAATGTTAAATAAATTTCTTTGTGTGGTAGCTAATTAAATAACACTTCTAAAGTGTCTGCAGTAACTTACCGTTCCTTTTCCTGTTCAATTCGCTGCTGCTCAGATAATTCTGCTGAGAGGCGTAATTTTTCCTTCTTTGAAACTTTCTTTTTCGAATCCTAGAAAACAGAACCTCAATTAAGTAAGTTTCAAAAATGAGTATGTAATGGATATGGTATAATTAAAGAAAGAGTAAACTGTTCACTGGTTCAACTAAACTTTAAACTGGGTCAGGTTGAGGAATCAGCCTTTACTCACGTACTATTGTGTAGTTATGAATGCATCAAGAGTAGATGTGTGCCATCTTATATTTAAAAAATATAAACTTAACACTTTTAATTGAAAAAGAAATTTCAAATGAAATCAAACTAAACTACAATAAACTTAACAGCCTGACTAACCAACTGACTACTCGATAATAGAATATGAGTTTCAGTACTGCTAATATCAATTCCCACAGGTGCATATAATCATAATAACACAAAACATTCTGAAATATCCTCCCACAACCCGTAGTAATCTGTCTTAAATCTGTGCAGTTTTAAGTCCTTCCCATTAAATCAGGAAAACTGGGCCTGGGGGCTCACTTTTAGTATCAATGGTTATTTACTAAACTTCCTCATTTACAAAGGAAGAAACACAAAAACTTAACAGGAATATATGTAACATACCTGCACCTTGTCATGGTGGTGGGGCTTGAGTACCTCAGTGACCCCAAGAGCTACTGGTAGGGCCTTCCTAGCCAGATTGGTCAAGGGGGAGAGGTCAGACTAAGACAGGTACCATGGTCCTCCAGGTTGGGGGTTGGTCGCAAGGCTAACAACCTTGCACCGTAAAAAGTAAGATGTTTCGAAACCTCAAAGCCTCGGACAGACAGACCTAACAGAGGACCGAATGGAAGAGGAGAATTAAGGAGGCCATGGACCGAATACGGACCAGAGAGCCATAGATGAAGAAGATATATGTAACATTTCTACCACACATAACAAAGTTGGTGCTGTAGTTGTTTTTGTTATGTTTTACATTCCTATTTGATGGAATTGCTACATCTATCAGTAAGAATATTTTATCTTCCTTCTTTCTAATTATTTTGTGTAGCCTATTTGCCAAAACCTCTCTATCTCTTTGTTCCCCTTAATTTTATAGTAGGCCTACTGTTAAACATTCAAGTTAACGTACTGACTCGAGTATGTCCGAGCATTAGTTTCCTGATGTTTCAATACCTATCTTGCATAGTGAGGAATTTAGATTATGATTATGTCTCATCATGTCTTACTGTTATTAAAAATTAAATGGTTTGCCATATTTTGGTTCATATTTTTGTGCAGATTCAAAATGATATCTAAACATGTTCTTTCTAAATATATGTTAGAATAACCCCACAACAGGCTATCAGAAGTTTAAAAAACATGGCAGCAGACCTAATTGTTACAACATAAGTATCCCACAGCCCTATGTAACTAGTACTAGAGACTAAGTCTACTATCAGTCACATCAACCTCAAGTTTGTCCCGCTACGTGCCATAAAGGCGCTTGGGGTGAGAGGAGGTATAGCTCCTCTCTTTCTTGACCTCGACACTAGATGGGGGTGAGTGGTCAGCATCACGCCCCGGCTGGCTTTACCCCCGGGAAAGGACCCCGGTACCCATTGTAGAGGAGGCTGGGTGGGCCCCAGAGCCGGTCTGGACGCAGAGGCTAGAGGAAAACCCCTCTGTCCCCGTCGGGGATCAAACCCCGGCCGTCCAGCCCGTAGCTAGTCACTATACTGACTGAGCTATCCCGGCTCATACATCAACCTCAAGACAGACTGCATTTCTCTGGAAAAATTTAGCCAATTAGCCCACCGTCATGTTGGTACCATCCCCAACAAACGAAAACAGGTTATAATAAGCATATCATTAAATGAAATTAAAATTGTGCAGGCATGCTTTAGAATGTTTGGTAATTCAGACTCTGTATCTTGCATCCCAAAATCTGGAAGGACCTAACATTTGTGTTTCTTCCTGGTGATTTTTATCAAGGCATTTTCCTGTATTTTGGGTCACCACCGTCAACGTCCTTCTTACCAATAGAAGGCAGCTTGCTTGTTTGTACTTGTTTATTCACTTATTAACATAAATTGTGAGCTCTTTTCGGATGAAAAAATTATTGTGAACTGCAGATAAAGCATACCTCAACAAACATGTTCATTATTTATTTTGTCTGTATTAAAATTCCTCTGCATAAAGATCCAGAATCCAGAAAATCCTAAGATCTGAAAAGTATTAGATCCGAGGCGTTCTTGATAACAGGTCCCGTACTGTAGGTTTATGTTTGGGAGAACTACAATTTTTTTCCCCCTTATTTACCATAATTGTAATTATATTTCTTCAGGGTATCAATATTTCTGAAAATTCTTCTGTCCTTGTTCTGTAAAAGAAAATATGACTTTTGTTAATTAGCAAACAAAAATATTATGAGGAAAAAACATATCTAGATGAGACTGTGCAATATACAATTCCAATATCTGATATGCTAATTAATAAAGCACATGCAAATGTTTGCCCTAACTATTTAATTTAATAAACCTATACCTACATCTTCATGGTTTGGTACACGTTTCAGCCTCAGGGTGGACTTCACCTTTTTATTCAAAGTCCATGATTCTGATTCAAAACTTAGTACTGCATTTGCTGTTATCTGATAATGCCAAATTGACCACTTCTTGACATACTTCTGAAAAAAATGTCTCCTTCCAGTTCAAATTATTTTATTAAAACTAATAACATAGTTTAAAAGTCTCCATTTCTGAAATTAAACTGTAGCTGCTTAATTAAGAGTCCACTACAACAAAATTTGCTGTTGGATTTATCAATGGCCCTCCCAATCAATTTAACAAAAAGTCAGGAAATTGACTGAAATTTGAAGCAGTGAGAAGAACTAACATAATGCACAGTTCAATCTTAGAAATAAATAAGAATGAGATGCATTATTCATGTTGACCTGAAACGGATCAGCATTAACTCTTTGACTAATGAATACTTCTAAGCTCACTGCTCCTGTATGTTGGAAGAAGCTTTTAACACTTCCAAATGACCGTGAAAAGATGACAGTATTTACAAATATTGTCCACAGAAATCATAGCCAATATCCACAGCTACCAGCCCCACATAATCAGGAAAACAACAGAAATAAGCAAACACCTTCAAAACTTTAACTATGAAGATGGTTACAGAAAACACAAAGCCTAGTTTCACCTGTTTTTCCCCCAAACCAGCTACCCTACCACCTGTGTCCCTAAACATCCATTAAATCTTCCTCCTCATCCAAGTCCCCAAGAATTTTTGGTACTTGTGGGTTATCGGGACACATCGCTTTAAAAATAGGTTAGGTTAATGTGTGGATAAATGACATATACTTGAAAGTTATTATCCACACACATTAACCTAACCTAACCTAGCCTGTTATTAAAGCGATGTGTCCCAATAACCCACAAGTACCGAATTTTTTAATCACACCTTCTCCAATCACCAAGCCCTAAAATGATGTCTCCAGCCCGTCGTCAGCAAACCTCGTGGCCAATCCACATGCCCGCGCGTAATTTTAATGTTTTTCTCAAGGTCCACGCCCATGTAAATATTTCGTCATGTGGAAGCAAGCAAGCCCTCTCACTGAGGAACATCGAAAGTGGCTTGTATCAGATAACCTGTCTTTACAGGTTATTCTATTTTCCAACAGATTTATGTCGCCTTTCAAATTATTCAAGAGATGATAAATAATTTCTCGAGTAAATCGTTAATGATTAAGAGCTCTACATAAAGAAGTGAAGTGTCGAACTAACCAACCAACTTCATACTTCAAGGTCCTTCTTTAGAAGTAAACAATGGCTGTTAGGAATTTCCCCGCCTTTTATGGAACCAGTGTTCACAAGAAGCGGCTACTAATCCCTGCCTCTTTATTATTCCATTAATAAATTGGAATCTTTCCAACGAACAGCTTATGCACAGCCACCATTCTTGTTACGTCCCAGGCTTATGAAGCAGTAAGCCTACTGTTTGGGTGGAAAACTGACTCGACCTTGACGCTCTGACGTCATGCTGAATGCTGTCCTAAAAACATCACCCTGTTCTAAAAATGTAATGCTGAATGCTGTCCTAAAAACATCACACAGTTCTAAAAATGTGCACATAGTTGGAGAAATCTAAATATTTGATACTATGGGTGTGTTACCAGTGACCCGACTAATATACAAAATTCTAAATATACTAATGTACTAAATTCTACACAAACAAAAATTTTAAAAATACAACAATGAGACGAAACACTAGAAAACTAGAACTTAATGGAGAACCGAGAGTCAACAAATATTTCTACACTGCATATTAAAACGGCTGTGCAGAAAGGTGCTTCTGTCTAAAGGTCAAGTGAAATCTACGCTCAGACAGACAGAACATCGGGTTCTTGTGTGAAGACGAAGCAACCACGCAGTTTCAAGCCTTTCGCCATTTCAAGCATCCGCTAACCCTGACACGTTTACAAGCCTTCATTAAGCTGTAATAACAAGTCCAAAGTTGCCTGTTGATGGAAATAAAGCCAATTTACGAAACATAGGGCAAGAGATAAAACAATTTGTACACAGACAAAGTCCAACAAATTAATCACAAACAAAGAGTTTGTTCGTTTGGTACTTTCTCTGTGTTCTTTGCATGATGTGAATGACCGATGATAGTGTCTGTTTGCGTCACACATATCAATTTTAAAACTGTCGAAATGAATTTCGGTATGAAGGTTAAAGCCATTGGAGGTGACTTCATGGACTGGAGCTAACAATTGCTCAACGTCAAACGAAGAAAAGAATGTTCTTTTACACAGGACCTTGAACAACCTCAGGAATGATCTGCAATAACAACATGGAAGATACACTAACTTGTAAGACGAAAACGACACCAGGGCCAGTGTCTTAAAGTGATGTGTGGTAACAGGTCTAAAAAATATGTAAATATAGTCGTGGTTACTTATCTATTTTAATCCGTCCGATCACAATATAATTTTATTTAAAATTTCTTATAATTAAGATAATAAAATATCATTCATGTTCCTTATCGATTGATCGATTTACATTTCGGAACATTTACACAACATGTTTCAGTTTTTA